ATCACTCCGGAACTCAGAGACATAGTTTCAGCTAATTATGATCCCCTGGTAGATGGAGTGACTGAAAAACTAAGCCGCTGGTCCAACTTGCCTATCGGAAGAATACATATCATAAAAATGACCATCCTACCTCAATTTTTATATTATTTTCAAACGCTTCCATTGCCACTACCAAATATGTTCTACGAAAAGCTTAACAAATTATTTAGTCAATTCATCTGGAACAGCAGAAAAGCCAGACTCCGTCTTAAACTATTATACCTACCTTATGAGAGGGGGGGTCTTCAATTCCCTCATCTTAAATGGTATTATATGGCTGCCCAACTAAACTCAGCTTCATATTATTTGTGTACAACAACACCCCCGACTTGGTTAAACATAGAGCAGACATCAACTCCATATCCAGATCTGTCATTACAAATGTATCTTTAATCTTCAGATTAAGAAGACATTGAAGAAACGTACAAAAAAACCTTTTCTTAAGAATACAATCTCAGTTTGGTATGCTGCACACAAACATGTGTCTCAATTTACTCCTGTTTGGGGCAATGAGCAGTTTAGTCCTGGGAAAAGAGATTTTAATCATGGAATACAAAAGGCATTCAGAAAATTATGGATCTATATACAGACAGAGTTTTGCTTTCTTTTGATCAGCTGTCGGAGATATCAAATCCCTAAAAAGCACTTTTTTAAATATTTACAGTTAAAAAGTTACATGTCATCAAAACATAAACAGATAATGTCTGTACCACCTTTATCGAAAATTGAGGAAATAACACTTGCAAATTTGGAAGGAAAGGGCCTAGTATCTAAATTCTACAACATGATGGTTGCATTTGACACTGAATCAGCATTAGATAAATTAAGTGCATGGAAAACGGATATAGATGAGGATATTGATGAGGAAGATTGGAATGCTGCTTGCCTAAAAGCACAAAGTCAGACAATAAATACTAGGTTCAAATTACTTCAGTATAAATGGTTAATGAGAATGTACATAACTCCTGTCAAACTTCATCATATGTCTGCCAATATTCCAGATGTCTGCTCTAAGTGTTTGGATGAGAAAGGAACTTTATTTCATTGTCTTTGGGAATGTCCACAAATTCAAATCTTCTGGAAGGATGTTATTAGGTGTCTGTCAGAGATGTTTAACATTAATGTCCCTTTGAACGTCAAACTTTGTGTACTTGGAATATATCCAAAGGACTTCAAACAGACTTCAAAACAAACCAAGCTTCTGGATGTTGGCCTTCTTCAAGCCAGGAGGGCTATCGCTTTATGTTGGAAATGTACGGATGCCCCATCACTGAGGTTGAAGGAACTTTCTGGAAGTGTTGGTCTAGAAAGACTGACTTACATCGCTAAGGGCCAGCGGAAGGACTTTGTTCAGCTCTGAGAGCCATATATGCACATTATGAGGGACGGGAATGTGGACTGCCTCTGAAAAGAAACTGTGAAATTATTTCTGTTTTATTTATTTTATTTGTAGGCCTATGCTTTTAATACTGGTGCAATGTGAGGGTGTGTGTATGCGTATATGTGCGTATGTGTTTGTATAAAAAATGTTTTAAATATTTAAAAAAATTAAATAAAAAAAAAACCTACTCTTCAGTCTGCCAGGGTAGAACCGGTAACTTTTTTTATTTACATGTTCTAGAATTTTGACATTTAGTTTTTAATATGACAGTTGAACAATATAATTGTTCACGAACCATTAGCCAGGATTTTGTTTGTTCTTGATCGGTTGGGTTGACTGCAGGCTATGAATATTCAGAACATGAGGAAAGGAGCAAAACTCAGAAACCATAGAATTGACATAAAATATGCATCAGACATTAATACCTGAAAAGAATGGCTGCATTCCTTTCTGTGCTATAATACATATCAACTTTATTTATGTTGCTTGTTTTAAACATATTGACAAAGTTATTTGCGGTAAAACAGATCACATTTTAAACACAAAGAGAATCGATCAAAAAAATGGTGTCTAAGCTTAGGTTTTGATCAAAAATGACACCCAAGATTTCTGCAATGCTGAGCTTTGAGCTAGAGGTCTGCCTTACTTTATGGATGTGACGCTGCTGCCCTCTACTGGATATACAATATGTTGTCATTGTAAATACAGGAACACTGATCATTTTTGTCCACACAGATATTTGGTGTTTACTAATACTAACATACATTGTTTTACTTATAGCAAGAAATTAACTTATAATTATCAGTCTGCCTGTATCTGCACTAAATTCATTTCCATTTGCCACTTGAATCATGGTATTTCATGCACTAATACAGTATGTGTCCTTTAACACAATTAATAATTTAGTCTGCATAGATAGAAGGATGGAGAACATGGAGAGAGGATAAATGCCTCCGATAGCTCACCTTGATAATCATCACAATGAGGGAATGGATACAGAAGAGCTAATCAAAAAGAGTTCACTAACTTTCTATCCCTTTTGTTCACTCATTTTTCTTTTATTGTCAGGCACATATTGGAACGCTTCTAGAAAATTAACTATTTTCTCTTTGACAAGCCAAGGTGAGTTGGTGTCCCCAGCCGAGCGAATCCAACAGGGAAGAGCTCTCGATTTTTAAGCTGCTGCTGGTAAGGTCAGCAAGCAGCACCAGAACCAGCCATGCAGGAAATCTTTTTGTATCATTTGCAAATGCAGCATAATGCCGTGCTGCTCTGTTTATCACCAGACAGTGTGATCCAATCATTTCCCACTGAGCTCTACCAGCAGGGTGCAGTTGGAAACACCAGGCGGGAAGGGGGACCAAAGACTAACTGGACCAAATGCTACCATTAATCCATCTTCTTCTCATGTCAGATAGAGATGTGTGGTGTTCTAATTAGTTTAGCAGTGTCCTGCAGTGAAATTATACTCCATGCACAATTACTTCAGCAGAATTGTATGAGAGAACAAAATGTAGATATACATCTGCACTGAGGTTGTTTGTCAGATGATGCTGTGTATTAAGTAATTCCACCAAGCGTGCATAGTTAATGAAAATGCTAATTGGTTGTTGATGTCGGTTAATTCCCTGAAGCTAGCACCCAGTCCCACAGATAAACAACATTAATGGAATTTTAATTGCAAAAGTTGCAATAAGTATAGCAGTGGCAAGCTGCGACAATAAGTCAAGCTTTTTTTAGGTCATCGCCACAGACTTAATAATGAATTAGAATTGTCACGACTATGCTTAATGTTGTCAAAAAGTTCCCTCAGTGAGCTTTAATTAGCATAATTACTCAATAAATGGTGCGTGTGTGCGTGCATGCGTGCATGTGTAATAATAGAGATGAAGGACATAGACTGCTTTTATCCCTATTAATTCCGCTCTGTCTTCTGAACAAGAGAATGCGTGATGCAAGATGATTTTAAATACACACCTGCACATAAAGGGTCTCAAAGGAACCCTCTAATGCGCTATTATGGCGCATTTCCACCACACGGCCACGCTCGGTACTGCTTGGCCCGCGTTGGGCCTTAACAGGGCCGGCTCACTTCATGCTGCGCTTCCATTACAGTTTAGGAACTGGGGTAGTTACTATAGTAACGCAGTGTAGGCGGAGCCGTGACGTCATCTTCAATGAGAACCCCAGAAAAACAACACAGCCGTTAGCTGTTAGCACTCAGAGCTCACAGCTCCTTATATATGTTCAGAAACTCGACAAAAGTTAAACAAGTACACACCACAGACTGCCTGTGTCATGGTGAATACAGTCGCTGCTTTATTTATGTCTGTATAGGCCGTTGTTGTGAGTGTGGACGGTCGGAGCATATACTGCGTTAGCTTAGCCAATCTCCATCTAGAAAACACGCATTTTAAAAGGTTTTTCGCCTGCCGTCTGTCTGCAAACTTGCCAAAGCATTAATTCATGGTTTTTACTAACCGGTATCAGTATGTTGTTACTTCGGCATCATTTTGAAATGTGTATTACAATTAAATCACGGTCAAATATGTCCATCTTGTTGTAGTTGTAGCCCCCTTGCCAGCGATCCTCTCTCTAGTTTAGCATACTCAGCCCGACTCAGCCCTGTTTGTTGGCCCCGATAGAACCACAATTTTGTCGGGCCAGAAAAGAGGTGAAAAAGTGGCCCCGGGCCGGGCCGGGCCGTAACTAGGCCTAGTGGAAGCGCAACCAAAAACGGGCACAGCACGACACGGCACGCTTAAACCGCGCTCCGCGCCATGGTGGAAATGCGCCATAAGTTGCAAGTTGAGAAAGAAGGCAATGTGAGTTTCTTGCTTTAAAAAAAAAAAAAGGTCCACACACACATACAGACATCGTTGTACCAGCAGAGAATTTGTTTCATTTGTAGGAAATCTTGCTGTGATCTATTTTGGACGATAGGCTGCACTAAGATTAAAAGTTGTTGTGATTTATGACCTCAATATTTGATACTGGTAGGTTTAAGAGAGAGATAGAGAGGGACAAAATATAGCAAGTCAGGGAAGAGTTAGTAAACTGTAATGCTCAAAGGGTGGATGTAAACCTTGCCACATTTAAGGGGAATTTGTGTCCTTTTAAGAGGAGATTCAATAACTACTGTATTAGCAGTATTTGATTAAATGTTTTATGATTATCTGGCATTTTTCTTCTGTCACTAGGTAGGTACTGTGGGTTTTGACACTTTGTACTGCTCAAGCAACTGTTCATACCGTATTGTTGACTGTTGTATAATCGAAAACTTCTCAACATAACATCTATAAATCCTGTATGATTCTGCTAACATGCATGCATGAGTAATTTAACGAGTTTCTGTGAACAGAGAGAAAGGCTAAGAGAAAGAATACTACTGATGATACCATTTTATACATTTTAAAATAGATTTTCCCCATTCCACCTGTTCATTTGTTTAATCCTGAGAAGCAACATTAATATGATTCTGTTGCCTTGAAGAAATATAATCAACATGTGTCTCTGCTGCCTGAGATTTTTTTAATCACTATCATTATGATTGAGGGTAATTTTGTTCTTATTCTTTCAGAGGAGATTTTCCAGTCCCAAATTGCCCATTGGTGGTCCCCTGATGGTGCCAGGTTAGCTTACGCCACCATTAATGACACCCTGGTGCCCAGGATGGAGCTGCCCATGTTTACAGGCACACCCTACCCAACAGGAAAAGAGTACCACTACCCTAAGGTGCACAGTTTTTCCCTTTTAGAATAAATATTTTCTTTAGATTTGAGATGTTATATTCATTAAATTGTCTCATTTCTCCTTCTCCCATTAAGGCTGGTGAGGAGAACCCTGTTATAACCTTGTATGTTGTGAATCTTAATGGCCCACTTCACACCATCGAGATGAGGAGACCTGATGATCCAAGGATGGGGTGAGGCATTCAACTATCAACCAGATCAATCTGCATTCAGTCAAGTGATGCATATTTACACCTCATGCATATTTAATTTAAATTAAATTAATATATTCTATCATGTGTTTAATCTCTCTCCATATATTCATTTACTGATGCTGAGTCTTCTAATGATGTTTGTAACAGCATTTTTTCTCGTGAAAAGATTCTGTACATTTAATTACTCCACTGACATATTTTTACTAAAATGTGGTCCCATAATTAGCGCAAATACACTTAATACCCCTTTACTCTGTTCGTAGTAATGTTCATTTTTGTATTCCTTTCTTTCTGTGGCTCAGATGTTGCTCTCACATCAAACATTTTCTGCAAGAAACCTTAATGGGACATCCCTTTCTACACTGTCAAACATTTTTGTGTCAGTGATTGTTTGTTTTAGTTTTTCTTCTGTGTTTGTCAGTGAGTACTATGTGACCATGGTGAGATGGGCCACCACCACCACCAAACTGGCCATCAACTGGCTGAACCGAGCCCAGAACATCTCTATACTCACTCTGTGTGAGGCCACAACAGGCGTCTGCACAAAGGTTTGTGTGTGTGTGTGTGTGTGTGTGTGTGTGTGTGTGTGTGTGTGTGTGTGTGTGTGTGTGTGTGTGTGTGTGTGTGTGTGTGTGTGTGTGTGTGTGTGTGTGTGTGTGTGTGTGTGTGTGTGTGTGTGTGTGTGTGTGTGGGTGGGTGGGTGTGGGTGTGGGTGTGGGTGTCAAATGAACTCTGGGATGTTTTCATACACTAAATAAAACACCCTGTTTTACAGAAACATGATGATGAAAGTGAAGGATGGCTCCACAGACAGGTAAGAATAATGACTCATACTATTTATAATGGGAGTTATTGATTATGTTGCACTTGCTTATATTGAACTATTAATTTCTGGAATTAAGTTAAGTTTATGTATATATTCTTATCTTTGGCAAAGCAATTTGATAACGTTCTTAAATTATACATGGTAATTGTGCAAGCTTTAGTACAAAATTGTAATGGGGGACTTTTTTGTGCACTTTTTGCATTTACTAATCCATTTCAATATGTTTTTGTAAGCTCTATGTTTCATTAAGTAAAATGTATGAATGATCTCTATGTGTCCTCAGAATGAGAAACCTCTGTTTTCCAGAGATGGGCTGAAATTGTTTTTCACCCGTGCCATTCCTCAAGGCGGCAGGGGAAAGTTCTTCCACATTTCCATGTCCATCTCCCAGGTAAGATTATACAGTATGTTAAGAGTCACATTACTATGTTTATTATCCAGTCTTTTTGTATAAGTAATCCATATGTTGGACTTTAATTAACAATATTATCAAAATGTTTGTTTTATGCAATTTTGCTAACCCTTATTACTTCGTTACATCAACTTTTAATAGGCTGTGTTATTTTATTTTCATTTATAACAATATCATATATATGAAGTTATCACCATTTAATAAACATACTGCAATGTTTGCAATGCTTCTCTTTATCTCCAAAGCCCAACACCAGTACAGACACACTACAGTCCATCACGTCTGGAGACTGGGATGTCACCCAAGTCCTGGCCTATAATGAGGACAGCCAATTAATGTGAGCACCCACAAACCACCACCAGCATCAGTTAAAACAAACCAGCATCACCACCATCCTCACATCTTGATGTCATAATTATATTATTGCTTTATGTAGATATACATTCTTTACATTTATTATTATCAAACAAAAGTCTGAAAGTGATGGTTTTATCATTATTCGAGATTTGGCCTGCACACACATTAACAACAAACCTGTTCCTATTGTCTATAATGTTAGCCTAACATATATCATATATATATTATAATCATAATATGAATGTTTTCACCACAAGGCTGTGCGCCTTTGCGATGAGCCATAAAGCAAATTGTGTATCATGTGAATGCAGCTTTATAGTCAAATTGTGTTCTTCTAGCATTTTGTAGAGTTCGACACAATAAACCTCTCCAAATGTACACAGCGTAAAATCCCCCTGCTTCTCTTTTGAACCCATGATAATTGTGACTCATCTCCATCACTTCTAGATGGTTTCACACCTAAACATACCTTTGCAAACATGATTTCACATGCACACAGCTGCATTCACCCTAATGTATACACAATGTTAAAGTTACTTTAGAACAACAACATCCAAAACCTCTTTCTCAAGGGCCCAAATATAATCTTTTATAAAAATGTCTCATCTTTCATTTTTACTCCATCATTCATTTATGAAAATTAGTAGTTTTGTAACTGCTAGTGTGTTCCATGTGCCTTTTTCCCACTCCTCAAGCTGAGGGATAGCCTCTTGTTAAAGCTTAATTCAAATCTGCTTACATTACATTATTTTCTCTGTTATATTAATGTAGATACTTCTTGAGCACTGAGGATGGTCCTAAGCGAAGACATTTATACAGGTAACAGTCTAGCCTTTAGTGTCAAGAATTGTTGTTTTGAAAGTTGATACCATTTTGCTGATTTAGATTTAGAAGTTAAACGTCATCTTCTTTGCTCCATAGTGCGGACACCTTTGGGTCATTCAATCGACGCTGTCTGTCATGTGCCTTGTCTGACAGCTGTGATTACATCAGTGGGTCTTTCAGCCACAACATGAGCTTTTTCTTGCTCAACTGCAAAGGTAGCTATGACAGCAATTAATCACCCGTCCATTTATTTTGTGTCACCTGTGAATGGTACTAAATTATCATAACTTAAGTCAGATCAAACAGGAAAGGACCATAATGCCATCAAACCCTCTCTACAGACCCCAGAAATTACTCGATAATCAATTGTCCTTCACCTCATATATTTGTAATCCAACTCTCCTATCAGCCTGCCTAGAAAGAAATAGGGAGGCTGTTGTTAAATTGCAAGCTGTTTTTAACATTATTCAGACTCAGCTCTCTGAACTAAAGCTTCTTTTAAATGTTGATAAAACCAAGGTAATGCTCTTTTCAAAAGCTAAAAAGACACCAGAGCCTGTTTTAGATATTGTAACTACGCAAGGAGTGGTTGCCTGTTACAAATACCTTGGTATCTGGCTTGATGATTGTCTCACTTTTAAACTTCATGTCAATAACTTGCTTAAAAAACTGAGGGTTAGGCTAGGTTTCTTTTACAGGAACAAGTCCTGTTTCTCGCTTGAGGCCAGGAAAAGGCTAGTCACTGTGACCTTTTTACCTGTGCTGGACTATGGTGATTTGATTTATATGAATGCACCTGCCAATTACCTGATCAAGTTAGATGCTGCGTATCACAGTGCACTGAGATTTGTGACAAACTGTAAAGTATTAACCCATCACTGTACCAAGCCAAGTATGCAAGGGCAGGTTTGCCTTCACTAACTGTACGGAGGCTCAATCACTGGTACATTTTTATATACAAAGCCATGTTAGGGAAACTTCCATCCTACATCTGCTCCCTGATCTCATGGCGAATTGTAAGTGGCTACTGCCTGAGATCGCATGCTGTGGTTTTATTAAATGTGCCAACTGCTAGGACTGTCTTAGGGAAGATAGCATTTAGATGCACAGCTCCTCTGTCTTGGAACAATCTGCAAATTAAATGGAAACTGAGCAATCTGGTGCCACTAAATGTTTTTAAAGCTCGGTTGGATGCTACACAATCGGATGCTGTTGGTACCTGTTCATGTGGATAGTTATTGTAAATTGTAATCCCTGTAATGATGGTGTATGATGTCCTTTTTGTTGTTCTGTTGTTTTATGTTTTTATGTTTCATGTGAAACCTACTTGAGCAGGTCTCCCTTGAAAAAGAGATAAATGATCTCAAGGGATTCACCTGGATAAATAAAGGTTTGAAATTAAATGAAATGTGAAAAGGCTATATCATTTCCACAAGGAGGACGAGAGAGTGGGAAGAAGGAAAGGAGGAAGGGAGCAAGTGCCTGAGCTTTACACCATGCGCAACCACAATGTTCCAGCACTGTGTTCCCAATTAGTTTAATCCATCAATCACTGAATTTGATGTCCCTTCTCCCTCCAATTTGAGGTTTAAGAGCTTATGTTTGAGAGAATTTGCCTGTTTTGCTGGCTTAGGTAAAGAAAAGCTACTTCAGTTTGCATCACATAAATTGAATAAGGAACTAACTTACTAATAAGAACTGCCTCTTTCCCAAACAGAAAAACTAAATGGGATGTCTTTCTCTGTTTTAAAACATTTTCCCTTTTAATGTTTAAAACAAGATGTTTAAACCATGCTAAACATTTCCCTGATGTCTCACTGATGTGTTGACAATGACAAAACATTCTGATTTTCTCTTAAGGACGGGACATCCCATTTGTAGCTGTTTACAAGACACAGAGAGATGGAGACAGTGAGACGCAAGACAGGGAGAGTAAGTATTTCTACCAACTTTATCACTAATTTGCATTTACAAAACTCTGGATTATGTTAATGACATTATGTGCAACCTTGTGGGCAGTAGAATAATCACTGAAAATGGAAATGACCTTTTCAAAAGGGACAGACGTGGTTCTTTTACAATGGAGAATGACCACCTGCGCCCTGAGTGACTTTTTGTTTACAAGCCAAGTCCAGCATGTTGCCAGTAATCAAATTACTTCTCAGAATGGATTCTCATTAAATTATAACCTGCCCAACATCAATATCAGCAAACAGTAATTTCATTACTACAGTATGCTTGTGTGACAGTCTGTCATCTTCACCTACATGTATATGATGTCCCCGCCCTAACTATGTTAAAACATTCTTGATGTTATTTGGTAGAATATTTGTATTTAGCTGTTGAACTGTGGACTTTGCTTGGGAACCAGAAAGTTGCCATTTCAAGTTCCATTTCAATTTCCAATTATTGTTCCCAAATGTTCACCTACAAAACTAGTGAGTATGCTTTTTTTTAAGGCTTTTTTACACGGACAAATGTAAATGTATATTGACTTTAAGATAAAAAAATGCTTGCATCCATGCAATGCTTATGTTTTGCAGGTAGTGCTTAACATGTTGACAATGAATCCTGGACACAGTTTCAGTTAACATGTTTGTTTGCTTTCTATTTAGATAGAGTTCATGATGAAAGTTAAAGATGATAAGAGGCTTTGATATGGTGTGGGGATGCTTTCTTCTATGAATTTTACATACATATTTTCAAACTATGCACACTGCAGTTTGCTTGACTTGGTTGACAGATATCATAACTGCACACAGTATGTTTAAAAAGCAAGCTCCAACCATATTACTGTCCAAACATTAATACAGTTAACTTTGTTTACTGCAACATTATTAGTTAATTTTGTGATTTCTACAGGTATTGCAGAAGTACATAACCTGGAGAGCAATGACAACCTGAGGCTGACCCTGGACTCCATGCAGATGCCCACTGTGGAATACAAGGAGATCAACATTGATGACTACAGTATGTGTCATGTTTCAAAGCCACAGTCACATTAGTGGACAAGTCCATGTACACAAGTTATCTGATAGTTGTCAGAAACAGACTGTAGAAAAAACCTAGGGTAACAACTTCCAGTCTGGGAAACACTGCTGTTCAGGACAGTGTAGTTAACTGCAACGTTTAAATTGTAATATCGATTAGCGCCACATCAATTTGGCTCTTATTGCAATTTGGCATGAGATGATTTACTTCTTCATACCTATCCAATATCACATACCATTGTTAACATGCCCTGCTGACCGGTGTCTGTTTTTGTTAAATATTCCACTGTACATCCCATCCTCCAAAATCCTATTCTAGATCTAGATGGTATAGTATCAATACAGTATCAATGAACGTTTATCATGAACTGGTAACACATAAATAAGGTTCAAAATATACGGTAGAGTTTCTCAATTAAAGGAGTATATTTAATGTTTGTTTGCAATGTTATGTTTTGCATAACAGTTGTTTGTATCTACACTACAGCTTTGTCAATGCAGATCCTCAAACCTGCCGGCTTCATGGACACATCACACTATCCTGTGCTCCTGTTGGTGTATGTATAAGCATATTTTTTCACATACTGGTCTAATCATTTTGACATGGAAAAAGTGTGTGTCCATTAGCAATGCTGACCCAACATGGCTTCCTGGACTGAGTTTTAATCAAGCATATTGTTCTCCACTCTTCTTGGATAATAATAACACTGGGGATAAAGACACTTATCCTAATCCTCCAGTCCACCCCTTTATTTTACTAGCATTTCTTTTGTACATTTATATATCTTTAGCTCAATTCTAAACTTTTTAGAAATCACCTTTTGGAATCCGCTTGTTTGCATCTCAAGCGCATATGCCTATCTAATAATTACAATTATGTAACTGTATTAAAGTGACTGTCTTGGAACAAGTTATATCTGCTGCATTTTAGCTTTATTTTATCCTAATGCTAATCTGTACATGTTGCCCATTGTCAGTTCACAGATACAGTACCCATAGTAAATAGTACACCCAAAATTACGAACATAAGAGCAATAATGTATTTGGACAATAAAAGGAAACTGCTTTTTACCCACAATTTCCAAAGAGAAACCAAATTATTATTTATACCCAGCGTAATCTTTTGATATTAAGAGAAAAAAAAGAAACAATGCTTTGCCTTAAGCAGTCTTAAATACACTGATCTGGTTGTTTTTGGTTGTTTGTGTGTAGCGATGGGACACCTGGTGGTCAGACGGTGGCGGAGCAGTTCCACTTAGACTGGGCCACAGTGCTGGTGAGCAGCTTCGGAGCGATTGTGGTGCGCTGTGACGGACGAGGTAGTGGCTTCAAGGGCACCAACCTGCTGCACCGGATCCAGAATAAACTGGGGTTGTATGAGGAACAGGATCAGAAGGCAGCACTCAAGTATGATATCTTTTAACCTTGTCTTCTTCTAAAATGACATTAAGTAAACATGAGTAAAAAAAAAAATGTGGGGCCAGAATTCCTCATGACTCATGGCATGAATTAAACATAACATTTATTATAGAAACCCACTGACAATTCCAAGTCACAGTGGAATTAATCTCTTGATATGTTTAGCAATTTCAAAAAGCAATCTTCAATTAATTAAATTGCAATGCAAATATTCCCTCACATTACTTGTTATTTTGAGAATATCGATCTTTTATTTTAGGAATGACATGTTGCAGTGGGTCATCTATAGTAGTAGTTTAGGTAATTTATATAATTCTAAGTGCCTTGTAAAGACAGCTAGTATGTGCAACACAGTATCTATGCTGAGACAGTGTATACAAAAATCAAATCAGAATTGTTCTTCCTAACTAGAACCAATGTTTGTTTTTTTTGCAGTTTTATTTTGAAAGAGTCCTATGTTGACAAAACCAGAGTTGGAGCTTTTGGAAAGGTAAGAATAGTCTTTGTGTGAAAATATAATCATGCATGTCTTCGTTAATATCCAGGTTGTACTATTTGTTCTTGGGGTTTTACTTCAGGAACAAAATATGTTGCAGCATTTCCAAAACAAAATTATTCCACATGCATAAGTAAAAGTACCGCAGTATTATCAGTAAAAGAAAAAAAAATAGTAACCATCATATGTCTTGTGAGAACCACATTGTGGCAGTGAGTTGTGGTTAGAGCGCCGGCTGCCGCAGAGATGGTAGTGGCTCATCCGGAGACCAGACAGGTGATCAGAATCAAGTAATGACTCACTAAATAAAAGCATGCTGGTAACCTGCTTCTCAGAATCAAAAAGCAGTATTTTGTCTCATCTGGACGTTATACGTCCAGTGGGGATGGAACGATTGCTCCCCTGAGCCGAAGATCAGCGCACTAACGCACTGAGCCACAGCCTCCATACTTACACTTTCTGACATATTTATGATCCGCCAGCAGATGTTATTAATGTGCGTCTGCGGTGTATGAAAATATTTAAAAATAAATTCAATAGTTTTTATTATAAACTTCTTAGGCCTTAACATCTATCACTGTGTATATCACAATTCAAACATGATTTAAAAAGCTTAAGAAACCCCATACCGCTCAGTCACACTGTGAAATGTTTACCTTTTTTTAAATCTTTTAACGGTACCACTTTAATAAGACTACCCTTATAAAGGGTTTACGAAGTTTGTAATTCATTTATTAATTAGGTTGTGAACACTTTATAAGTCATTAATAATAATAATAATTAATTATAATGTTGAATGTTCAAACAAAGTACTTTGGCAAGTTAAGGTATAACTTTTAAAACGCTTAATAAGCAACTTAACTTTCATGATAAGCAATTCTCGGTCACGATCAGTTGTCTCTGTGAACGGACGATTGTTGTGTTACTGTAAATGTTGGGCCGCAAGGTATTGTGGGACAGCATTTTCTCCTTTCCTTTCGTAAAGGTCAGTCCAGTGTTTCCTAAACTAAAGGACATTAAAAGGAAGTTTCAAAGCTCCTTTCCTATCATCTAGAGCAGTGGTTCCCAAACGGTGTGCCGTGGCACACTGGTGTGCCGTGAGGCAAGTCCGGGTGTGCCGTGGGATTTTGTGACAACCATACGTTATTATTGCAATATACAACTACACAAAAATAATTATTTTTTAATTTACTATATCAGTACTTTGTATGCACTCATTTCATAATACAGAGGCAAACTCTATACCTAAAAACAATTCTTTTAAAAAAAATCCTCACAGAACCCCATATTTCGCTGTTAACGCAGTTGCACAGGTGGGAATTATAAGACCGTGGCACATCGAAGGCTGAAGGACAACATTAAAACAGAGAAACACGCAAGAGGGAAAATGGAGCGCTTTCTTGTGCGGAGCAAACCACCAACCACCAGTGCAGAGACTGCCGACAACCCACCACCGAAAGAAAAGAGAACAAAAACTGTCAGCAGACAGTATCATGAAAGTTACCTGTCTTATGGCTTCAGTTGGATGTCAACAATCCTCAGCCCGAGTGCGTCGTCTGTCGGGAGAAGTTAGCTAATGCGAACATGGTTCCAAGCAAGCTGAAGAGGCACTTGGAAATCAAACATACCTTCCATGTTCAGAGAAACTTGGCCTACTTCAAAAGAGCGCGGGATCTGAATCAGAGGCAGCAAGACCGTTTGTTGGATTGTGTGAAAGTGTCTGAAAAGGCAATGGAGGCTAGTTGCATGCTAGCGGAGCTCATTGCAAAGCAGAAGAAACCTCACACAATAGCGGAGACACTCATCCTCCCCGCTTGCAAAAAAATTGTAGGTGTCATGCTGGGTCCAGATGCCGCAAATGAGCTATCCAAAGTGCCGTCGTCTGATAATACAATCAAAAGAAGAATCTACGACATGTCAGAAGACATTGAGCAACATTTGACAGAGAAACTGCAGGCGAGCGGCAGATTTTCCCTACAAATAGACGAATCTACTGACATAAGTGGGGCTGCCCAACTTCTGGCAAACGTCAGATATGTTGATGCTGACTCTATCAAAGAGACGTTTTTCTTCTGCAAAGAAATGGAAAGCCATACTACGGGAGAAGAAATATTCAGGGTAACTAATAACTATTTAAAAGAGAACAGTCTGACCTGGAATATGTGCGTCAGTCTTTGCACAGATGGTGCGGCAAGCATGACGGGGAGAGTGAAAGGATTTATTGCTAAGGTGAGAGCACAAAACCCACATATCGTGACAAACCACTGCATTTTGCATAGAGAGGCATTAGTTGCCAAAACCATGCCCCCGGAGTTGACTGAGGTGCTGAATCAGGCTGTGCAGATGGTGAATTACATCAAATCAAGGCCCCTGAAATCTCGCCTCTTCTCCCAGCTGTGCGCCGAGATGGGAGCCGACCACCAAAGCCTGATCCTCCACACAGTGGTACGTTGGCTGTCACGGGGGAAAGTCCTATCCCGTCTTTATGAGCTTCGGGAAGAGCTTTTGGAGTTTTCACGTGAACACGCTGTCCCACATAAAGAAAAGCTTGCGGATGAGAGGTGGTGCGCCAGGCTGGCTTACCTCGCAGACATATTTGGGCATCTCAACGAGTTAAACGCCAAGCTTCAGGGCAGGAATGAAAACATTTATCATCCACAGACAAGATTCGGGGGTTTATGGGCAAACTTATCCTGTGGCGCGAGGCTTGGGAACAGGGCTCCATGGACATGTTCCCGCTGGCATCAGCTGCGCCGCAGGCAGCTAGGGAGCGCGCTGTATATCCAAACACCGTCAGACCTTAAAAGAGAGGTTTGACCGCTATTTTCCACGTGTGGCTGACATCGAGGACTATGACTGGATCCGAGACCCATTCCACCCGGAATTCCCAACAGAAAAGCTCACTATGAAAGAGAGAGGAGTGCGCAGAGCTCCGTGTGGACCGCACACTGAAACTCAAATTTAGTGAGCTCCCACTGGATCAGTTTTGGTTGGCTTCTCCATCGGAGTACCCAAGCATCTCCCACCACGCGATTGAGCAACTTCTTCTTTTTCCCACTACCTACCTGTGTGAGTTGGCGTTCTCTACTCTGGTTTACATGAAGAACAACAGGAGGTCACGGCTCTCTGTTGAACAGGACTTGCGAGTGGCCCTCTCCTCAGTGCCACCAAGGATTAAAAAAATCTGCACGCCCCGACAGGCACATGTATCTCACTAATTTGTAAGTCGGCAAAATATTTACAATAGCACATGTTTCAATGCTGATTGCTGAAATGTTACATTTATCATTTGTAGTTCAGGACCATGGACAGTGCAGCTTCCTTGCATTGACAGTTCTCTGTGCTGAATTTCTGCTGAGTGTTTGCCTCATTTTTAATTTTGTGACCTGTCTGGTTCAAATGAGTGTGTTGCTGCTTTGATGAAGCCTAATTTGATAAAGTTTCAAATTCATTTCTGAAATATTTCGTTAATAAATATTTCATGAGTAATATAGTTGTCTTTGTCACATTTTATTTGGCATTAGTCAATAATTATGCACATTTACAGATATTTTACATGATATGAGTGATAACACGTGTTATAAGGGCTATTTTGCACAATAGGTGTGCCTTGAGATTTTTACTTGTCCTTTGGTGTGCCTTGGGCACAAAAAGTTCGGGAACCACTGATCTAGAGAATTTGAACAGCTCTTATCATTGCTGCCACTTAGGTACTTCCGGGTCATTTAACTCCATTAGGAACCTTCCTAAGCTAAACTGACCATTTGCAACCCAGAAGCAGGTTACCAGCATGCTTTTTTTTAGTGACCCATTACCTGAGTCAGATCACCTGGCTGGTCTCCAGCTGAGCCACTCCCATCTGTCCAGCAGCCTGCGCTATAATCACACCATAATCACACCCAACTGCCACACGTATATATCTCTAAAAAGTCAACCTTTCAGAAGTTCTGACACCAAAAATATTTTCAAGGGGTTTTAACACTAGAACCACCACGGGTCGCTGTATACCTAAAACCGCCAACGGGTAAAATGTACCCGCTATTAGAATGCATTGATTTTCAAGGTACAATGTTCTCTTATAAATATCATACTAGAACACAGGGTTCACAGTGAGTTTTGATCGCACAGATACCAATAGAATCTGTGGACTCTCAGCTTTCATATGATATCTAGTGCAGATAGAATACAATCTCTCTCTCTCTCTCTCTCTCTCTCTCTCTCTCTCTCTCTCTCTCTCTCTCTCTCTCTCTCTCTCTCTCTCTCTCTCTCGCTCTCTCTCTCTCTCTCTCTCTCTCTCTATCTCTCTCTCTCTCCTCTCTCTCTCTCTCTCTCTCTCTCTCTCTCTCTCTCTCTCTCTCTCTCTCTCTCTCTCTAGAAAAGCGCTAGGCCTATAGGCTATAAATATAATGTATTGTTATTATTATGTGTGGTTGGACTCTGTCTCACAGGCAGGTTGCAGTGTAACATCAGGAGACTGGGCCAATTGTACATTCTCAAACTGCACCACTTAGAACTAACTAAACAATGCAGAGATTATTTTTATATAATTGTATTCAATAACCGTAACGAAATTCAACAGTATGAAGTGATTTGTAAATAGAAATACAGATTTGACTTAATGTTTTCATAAATATATTTTTCTCCCAGTTTGTCATGGGACTTATTTTTACCCTCTCAAAGAACCGGAATCGAGAACCGAAAATAACCGGAATCGAAAAGCAGAACCCGAATCGTTAAAATCCAAACGATACCCAACCCTATGTGTGATGCAGTAAAATATTACCGAAAATGTAAAATACGATGGCGAAGAAGAAGATTCCAGTGGCCCCAATTTTTGTCCATTCTGGACAAGTGAAAAATGTATTCGGACAAGTAAATTGTCAAACTCACTTGTCCATGGACAAGTACTCTCTAAAAACGTTTTCTTACACTGAAAAGTAACTAAAGCTGTAAGACAAGTGGAATAAAAAGTTGCATTACATTTAAGTACAAGCATTTCAAATATTGAATTGAGTGCACTCAGTACATTCCTCCGCAGGCAATAACATGCATGTTTATTGTACCTCAGGTATATGGAGGCTTTGTGACCAGCCGTTTGGTCCGGGGCGATGAATCCCCTGTAAAGTGTGCTGCTGTCCTCTCACCCATTACAGACTTTGAATTATACGGTAAGCTGTTTTTGTTGCAGATCTTTGTTTTACTTTCAAAAAGCTATCTCTGCATATTCATCTAGGCAGTGCTGTCAGAAAGTATAAGAACATATATATAATCTAGCACTTTGAAATATGCAGCTGGGAGTTTTTTCTGTGGCTTTGTACGTGTATGTGAAAAAGGAGCTCAATCATAATGTGCCAAGTTAACAACAGCAACCTCACCTAAGCTAACAAAGGAATGAAATATGTGAAAAGTATAATAGTGTGTGTTGAAAGTGACGGAAAATGAGAGGCGGTAGGTAGTCTGTTAGCTGTACCAAGTCAGGACACTGCAAATTAAGGAAGAAGTGGGTAGCACAGTGTGACTGATTTCCTATACATTGGATTTCTCTGTGTTTGCCAGAGGGGTGAATGGTGAATAAATAATATCTAGAAGGGTGATATATTTGAATAAAAAAAATGGAAAAGTGTACTTCTTACCTTTTAAAATGGCCAAAGAAAAGACAGAAATTACTTGTCGAAATGTGTTATTTATATGAAGTTTTGATACTCTTTGGTAATTGAAACCCTCTTAACCCTGTAGCATCTGCATTTTCCGAGAGATATCTTGGGCTGCCTAAACCTGATCCGAGGGCATACACAGTAAGATTTCATTTTAATTCTGATGTTTCAAATTCCGTCATAATTATTGTTGTATTTCATTTAATCTTATTTGTTGCTGTGTGTCTCATTACTCCTCAGATGGCAAATTTAGCACACAAAGCATCTCAGTTCATGGATAAGAAGTTTCTTATAATTCATCCAACGGCTGATGGTAGGACAAAGATGTTCAAAACCATATATCTATTTTCTAGTTTTCAACATTACATGAAGCAAAAAAATCCCTGAAATGTTGTCATATATATCATTATATTTTTTCCAGAAAAGGTTCATTTCCAACATACAGCAAAATTCATCAGCCAGCTCATAAATGAAAAGGCCAACTATACGTTACAGGTATGTGGTTTTACGTGTATTCCTCTGTAATTTTAACTCCTGCTGATGACAATTTCTCTGCCTGGTTCAGTTATTCGCCAACCACTGGGAGTTCTTTGATCACAGCAGTCTGAGGAGTATCCCTCCCAATGCCTTCATTCCACATAATGAGATTATCAGACCTTTTTGGGCATCCTGCATTAACACCAGGACTAATCCATTTAGGATACGATAACGAGCTAATTTTGGACTGATAGAAGGGTTACAGAGCGCACAGCATCTGTATCACCTTTCTACTCATGATATCTCAATGCAAATGGTTTCTATGGATAATCAAAAGTCTCCCCTTGACCACTTTTTGCTGATCCCACACAATATTTGACAAAAATCATGCAGTTTTTTTTATTCAACATAAATGTGGTTTGTTTTGCCTATTTTAAAAATTGTTAATTTGAATATTTCTGCAAGCTGGCATGGGTCCCTAAAATGTAGTGCAGTTGCAGGATTTACGTGAAAAGTTTGCATTTGGATGAAACCCTGAAGTGCCTGAAAATATTCCGATTTATAACAGAGTGCACACATACATCCTATACCGGTTTCCCTTGATAAATCACTCTGAACTCGAAATATGGTGCACCTTTTGCAGGCTTAATGAAACGCCTATAAATAGTAAATGAAACGACCATTATTAATATTCATTTACACTGACTGCATGAAGTCAATCGTAGGAAGGAAGGAACATAATATATGAGAAACTGTCACTAATGAACTTGGAATCATGACGAGTTGGACACAGGTGGGCAAAACGCACAAGATGAATCAGATAACGTTATTTGTCACCCTTAAAACAAATGCATTGAATTGCAGAATCATAATAATAATACAAAAATAACTTAATTTTAGGGCTGTCAAGTTAACGCGTTAATAACGCAAAAAAAAATTAACGCCACTAATTATTTTAACGCGATTAACGCATGTGTATTTTTTGTCCTCGGCCACCCCGTAGTTTCAGAGCGCATCGAGTTTAAAATACCATCTACAAGCTGATGCTGACAGCCCCGCTCCTGCCGGCCCGCTTGTGGCAGACCACACTTCCACGCTCACTGGCAGGCCCGGACAGGCCATCGGGAGGACCGGGAGTGCGTGTGTATGTGTGGCGCCGCTGGCGCGAGCGAGGCACACCTTACGTGTTGTTGTTGTTAGCATCTGGTGCTAGCTAGCTGCGCTAACGGATATAAGGAGCTGTTTCAATGAAAATAGAGGAGCGACATTTCTCCGACAACTGCGCCGAGCACTTGACTTTATGCAGGTAGCCAGACAGTGGGACATTGTACGAAAAGTCAGCACACTCAGCACGGATAGTGCGCGCAACATGATTGCAGCGATTGCAGCGTCCAGGCAGCTCCCGTTCGAGCATGCCTTGAGCTGCACATAGCTCCAACGATCCATCACAGTGTCTCCACATTCTCTCACACACATACACACACACACACACACACACACACACACACACACACACACACACACACACACACACTTTGTATTGTATGAGAGAGGTTCCAGGTTGAATTGAGGCGAATATTTGTAATGTTCAGAGGTTGTTGTGTTTAATATTCATGAGAATATTTGTCATTGTTCAAATGATAATAAACAAACATATAAAGCATATTTGTCCACTCATATGTTGATAAGAGTATTAAACACTTGAAAAATATCCCTCTAAGGTACATTTAGAACAGATAAAAAATGTGCGATCATCATCGCTATTAAATATTTTAATCGACTGACAGCCCTACTTAATTTATATTGGACCTTTTAAAGAACCTGATTGCAAAGTCTTGAGCAATAAAACACAGAATTATACAATATGTGAAACCATTCACTAGTATCTGCATGACCTATTGAAAACGGAATCAGTTTAAAACATATACTGTACGTATATATATTTAAACCTATACAGTCTTCGATTTTAAAGTGATTTTGTAATACTGTACACTTTTGTTACTCGTGAGAATAATCTTCATTATATTGCTTATATTATTATAGCCTGTATTAGATACAGACATGTATTTGTGGGGTTAATGGCTTATTATCTTTTTTTCAAATGAGCCCTTTATATCTATTCATACTATAATGTATGTAGGAGGTAATATTTCCCTTTTTTGTTCACTATTTCTCACTGTTTCTCTCTCCTTCCATCTTTCTGCCATCAGTTTCACAGTTTAACATTTCTCCAGTTAATCTGCAAACGTATTTGGATCAAAGTGTCCGTGGAGGACCCTCAATTGTCCCGTCAAGATTGTTTTATATACATCGCAAACTTTTCTTCAGTGGCGAACCGTGTCTATCACAACTGGACCTTCTGTAGACACACACACCGCCCCGCCGCCACCGCCCCCCCCCCCCGGCGTTATAATGTCCGTCTTTTCACTGAATTGTCGTCTTGAAAAGGGTACAACAATTCCGCAACAACTTCATCTTCACCTGTTGCACTTGCCATTTCAACGTTAAAAACAATAAAACGGCATGAATCGCATTCATCTAGGGTGTCAAACTCAAGGCCCGGGGGCCAAATCCGGCCCGCGACCTAATTTTATGTGGCCCGCAAGAGCTTGCAAAGAATATAATATACAATACAATTGGTGTAATTGTTGAATATTTACTTTCAATTATTTGCCCTAGACTTCTGCTTGCAGACATAGTTATTTAGGAAGATATTACCACAACTGATAATAATCCAATGCAGGGCCAACAATGTAATATAATAAATTATTTAATACAATTGGTGTAATTGTTGAATATTTACTTTCAATTATTTGCCCTAGACTTCTGCTTACAGACATAGTTATTTAGGAAGATATTACCACAACTGATAATAATCCAATGCAGGGCCAACAATGTAATATAATACATTATTTAATATATATTATATATTTATATATGTATATTTATATATAATTAAAATTACAACCGGCCCTTTGAGTGCAACCATAATGCTGATGTGGCCCGGGATGAAATTGAGTTTGACACCCCTGATCTAGATCCTCTGTCTCGAGCCAGTTAACTACCGGGCCTTCTAGAGTACCCTGGAACTGAGGGAAACTCTGAAAAAATACGCCCATTGGCTACAAATCAATATATGATTGGTTGATCAAACTGTCAGTCCAAATGTACGCTCTCATTCAGTGCAACGGCCAGGGCATTCTATCAAGGATATAGAATACCTTGGTTGAAGGATATTCTACCCAGAGACCCAGAACAAGATCTGATTGGTTGCTTTCTTTTCTAACACAAAACCACTGAAATGCGTAGTGCATGGTCCGAGAAGGACAAACAAATCAACGTAACACTGTAATGTTACAGATCAACAACATAGATACGATTCTCATGTATTCATTTTATATACATTTTATTACATTTTATTTATATAATTAAATCGATTTTGTGTTTGTTTTATCTGAGTGTTCCAGGGTATTCTCTGAATACCTTGAAGGCCCTGACGGTTCGCCACTGCTTTTCTTGGATACAAATATGAAATATATCTAACCATATAAAATATAATTATGTGCAATAGCTGTTCTTGTCGTCACTGATATGTCTGTGACAGACAATTATGTAAAAAGCAGTGTCTCACTCACCTTTTCTTTGTATCTCAGATCTACCCTGATGAAGGCCACTTTATTCACAGTGAGGCAACACAGCAGCACCTCAGCCAGTCCCTGGTGAACTTCTTCGAGGAATGCTTCAGGCTACCAGAACGAGTGTTCGAGGAGGCCCTGGAAGAGGAGAGCGAAGATGAGGGTTAGCTTTGCCTGAGGCTCATGTGCCCCCAATCCTTACTATCCATGCTACCTTACCTCCATTCTGTCCCTGTGCCCAAGCACAACACTGGAATACAATTGTCCACAATATGCAACTCTTGTCTGTTCTCACCTAAGTGATTAGTATTTGGACACCCTGTGTCCGCAATCTGAACCTGAGACTGCCCCTACAGCAGATGACGGATATAGTCCCACATCCATCCTTTCATCTTCTGCCCTGAAATCCAAATGGCCCTTGAGAGAGCCAACAACAAAATAAAATGTACTGATTGATTCAACTTTGCAGCAGGTTGGACTACTGTAGCTCCTTAAAAGCAAAGAAGACGGAGCATCAGCTTTCACACAGACTTTCAAGCTGTGAGGACAAGGGACACCTTATAGCACATAACTTGTGGGCTTGTATATTATTAAAAATCAGACGCCAGGTGAAGAACACTGGTTAACAGTGTTCAGAGTGTCTGGAATTGTCGCGATACAGGAAATGTTACTATTTTTAAAGTTGTCAAGAACTTTCATGTTGGACTGTGGATGTGTCTATTGTTATTACCGTTTGTAAAATAGCACACAAACATTCACTCGGATATTAGAGATATATTTCATTTGGTATTCATGTTTGCCCTGTTTTTCATCTCGTACCCTCTATTTTATGTTTTTCAGTGATGCTGGCTATGTTTAATACTGTTTTGCAGTTTTATCAAATGTTTTTTTTTCAAAAACAGAAGCATCAACTTGTTTAAGTCACTGTGCCTTACTTTGTCAGAAAACATTCAACAGTGGGACTTCATTTATGAAATATAGGTAATTTTTTTAGGAATGGTGTGTTTTTGGGAAGTAAACCTATTAACTTCTTCTCGAGAGTTGGAAGAGAAAATGTGTCCACTCTTATTCAATCATGAAGCGTAACGACTAATAGCAAGTGAAAACAGATAGACTAGCTTTGTGAAAAAATAGAAAAATAGCTCCTCTGACACTCTTTTCAGTTGTTCACTTAACCAAAAGTGTAAAAACTACAAGTTGTCATTTTATGGGAGATAAATAAAAGTGGTATTTATCTTTTCATATAACTCTCATGAAGAAAGTGAATATGTATTATTCCCAAAATAGCAGCTGTTATATTAAATACATATGAATGAAATTGATACTTCTTAATGTTAGCTAGGCGTAATTTGTGATTGACATACTGAAGGAATTTTAAAGTTTCACATACAAAATATTAACCATTCTCTAGAAATATTCCCAATGGTATCACACCAAAATGTACAGAATCTGCATGCATCATTGCTTATAAGATGTTTGGGAATGGTTTATGAAGGAAATGTATTAACCAGTACAGAAACAGCTGTGTTTTTATTGAAAGTGCTTTCTCATTTACCCTTGGTTTACATGAGTGGATACATATTTCAAGGTTGAAGGCAAGCCTGAGCAATGTTATAATTATATATTGGGGTAAAATGGTCTAATGCAGAAAACAGGGCTCACGAACTGATACATTCTGAAGTACAATATATATATATTTTTTTTTAATTTGAATTCCATTTGTGTTACGTTCCAGTGCATGTAAAGATTTTATTTGCAGCCCTATCCATGATAGCTCTGTTCCAGATGGTAATTTTGATATCTTGAAGGTTCCTCACTGGATTTCATAAATTACATTTCCAGTGGTTGAGATCCCAGTCTCGTCAGCTTGATGTGTAAATGTTATTCAAATATAATTTTATTCTAAAAAGAGATAAGAAACAATATTACCTGAGTGTTATTGTGCATAAAGCATTTTGGAAGTTACATTTGACTATTCATTTCTGTTCTCCTGTTGCTGGGACCTTTCTCGCCAGTTGTTGAGGACATTTTCTAGAAGCTCAACTTTGTTATCCAAAGCATAGGAGATTGTGGCATGAAGGTAAATGTTAGAATAAAAAAATAGATATTTTATCAGCCTTAAATGTTTTTGGCTCATCTGTTTTATTGTGAATTTTAAAGCTGTGGTGATTTTTTTGAACGAACAAAGAACACAACATTTACATATACAGTATCAATGTATAAAGTTATTAAAATGTTTCCAACAATTTCCTATTTACAGGTGTAGCAGACAGACAGCAAAATCAACATTAATTTGAAGGCATGTTTCCAGTGATCCGTCAAATGTGAGTCCAGCATTTACTCTCTTTTCAGCTCAGTTTAATTATTGCTATTAGGTAGGTAGCTGTCTTTCTGTCAGACTGGTACTGTAGCGTAAAAGGAGTAAATTACAACATAATTTGGAGATAATAGTACATCTTACCAAAAAATTGAAAGTAAACGTCATAAAGTTATTAAAAGATTATATAAAAGGCCCCTTTTTGTAATGTCTGTCATTTAATTACTCATCTGTAAAACCAGCTACAGCATCCACAAAGCATGATCCTACCCGCCATTAGCATAAATATATTGCAATGTTATATATCGAGAGTAAAAAATCAGAAAAAATAGATTTGCTCGAAGCCACTTTTGGGCCCAGTGAAAACAGGATTGTAGTTGTATATCAACGCGTTGCTCTCTTCGTCCTCAGATTCAAATTTGTGAAAGTTCTTCCTGGCTATAAGGAGAGAAAACAAGATTAACATAATGCAGCTACTGACTATGTCATTAAGGAACCAGAAAGATAATATGCTCATACCTTCACTGATAAAGAATTGTGCCAGGTAGAAGGTAGTCTTGATTGCTGATGGAGAGTGTGGAATATAAGGCCTTGTCCATTCAAATGCATTTTTCTCTGGATGCCAACTGTGTCCCATAAATTGGGTAATCATATGCTGCCAAGTTGAATGGGAAGAAAAAGTACTTATTAAAAATGTCACGCTGGGGTTATTTGCTGTAAATCATTAAAGTGAATCTGCAACTACCTTCTACAGTTGATACAAACTCCACTTTTCCATCCGTATTTGTGGAGAGAACTTTGTAAAACATTTTCAGCTCCTCATTTGAGTTATGAGTCTGGAAAAAAAACAAGGTTACTTACAATGCACTCAAGTAAACAACAGCCAGCATTTTATTTCCGTGCTTTCTATGTTATGAGAATAAATGGGGGGAAACCATACCAACACTGCCAAACTCCACTTGTGAGAGTTTTCTGTCAGAGCCTCAGTGGCCAGATCTTCAATGAGTTCAGCTGGGAAGTCTTTAAACATCCTACTGTCTTTGATTTCTGAAAATGGATCATAATATTATGATTATTACTAATACAAAACACATTTCATAAGATATTTAAAGCGTTAATGTAAAGAAGCTCCATTGTTTTCCTGTAAACAATGATACCTCTGCTACAACTTTGGCATGAAAATGTATTAACATACTGTAATTGATAGTAAATAGCAATAGCAAATATATGTTAATATTATATTGCTAAACCACAAAATAACTGAATATTAACACTACACAAAGCAAAAAATTCTCTTTAACTACTTCAGAACATTGCCAATCTAACTGTTATGTTCCGATAACTCATTAAGGAGTTACAATTATGGATATTATGTTTATATTTATTATTATAAGGATTAGGTCTATCTTATGGTTACATGTACGTACTTCTCTCATTGAGTAATCAATGTTACATCAAGACAAAGCCATACCATTAGTGAAGTTCAGAGGCAATGCCACACCGCTTGTATTTGTTTGCGACAGTATTGTTTTTTCACTTGTCAAATACATCAGTTGCTCAAATCCAAGACAGGTGCCCCACACGGGAAAGTAGTCGCCTTGGCTGTTTGCCTGAAAAATCACACACAGTTTGCATCATAATCCAGCATCGATATATTCAAACATAGTAACTAGTGTTTTAACTCTTTACCTCAATAGCAAGTTCATAAAAGATTTTTGCAGCTCTTTCATAACCGGATGAAATAATGCTGACACCTCCGCCTGGGTAAAGGATCCTGGTAACAGAGACACAACACTCTCAATGACACAAAATATTTTGACGTAAATGTGTGTCATTTGCTTTGTGAGTTTACCGCTTTCCACATCATATAATTGCACCTAATATTCAGGTATACTATAAATCTAATTTGCAATTAAATGTTATATACTTTTTCATATGACTATATGTATATATATAAAATGTACCATATATTTTTGTTTAAATGTTTTAGTTTGAAAGTTGTATTTAACATAATGCTATGTATCTGCTATTGTAAAGATGTACAGTAGATTCTGAACATGCATCAGTCATAAACATATCATTGTGATGCATGTGAGCATGGTTTAAGCGTGTAACCTAGGTAGAGCTAATCGTTCTAAACATGAAGTTCATTTTTTTATTGAATGAACATAACAGCAAGGCTAGAATCTGGTTAATGTTGGTTAAAAAGTGATAGTTTATTGGAAGTCTGTATCTTATCCTAATTTAAATATATAGGGCCATGTGTGATATAGTGTCAGAGGGCCTAGGTATAAAAGTCACGGCTCGCCACTGCATACAGGTGTTGACTTATACATCTGTTAATCATTTATAATACATATACAATTACCCATTAATGGAGTTAAACAGCTTCTTATACTCCTCCATTGGCTGGTTAATCCTTTAGACAAGAAAATGAAAGGGTTTCAGTTCACAATGTTGTATAAACAGGATGTTGCAAAGCTTTTCCGCAATGAAAAAATAAGTGATGAAATGAGTAATATAATAACTCACATGACAGGTACAACCCTTGCTCCTGCGGACTCCAGGAACTTAACATAAGAGGCAGCAATGTAAGCAGTTTGATTTGGTTTTTGAGAATAAACTTCTTGAGCCAGGACACCTTTTGAGAGGAAAAACAGCAGTTTAGGTACACGACCATTTTAAAATCAACTCCAACGGTCTTTCGAAAGTAACGTCAAACTGTGGGTCACGTAATGTTAGCTTAACTTAATGTCACAGTTGATCAAATGTATGTAAACTTACCAATAATGGGTCTGTCATTTATCTTGGCTGAAGAATAAAACGGTAGACACGGAAGACACATGAAAAACAATGACAAAAATCATTATTCTAAAGGTGAAACCTGCTTTAGCAGTCACAACTATCGCCATTCCGCCAGCGGTTGTGTGTGTTATCACTTACACTTCCGGGCTACGGTACCTCCTTCAGAATAAAAGCATCATGTTTGGCCTCAAATAACCTCGTTGACTGATTTATTTTCACTAGCAAATCAACAAACAAAAAATTACCAAGGCTTTATTTATAACTTTATTTTAAAGTCGACACATGGAAAGGGCAGTATTTTACCATTAAAGCCCAATGTGACATGATATACGCTACAGTGTTACAGTGTGGTTTAGGTGGTCTATTTAGTCTAAATGTCTATAGTATATTATGTTCCCCTTAATTTTCCCAAAAGTAGAAATGGGTCCGGTAAGATTCCAGGCATATTTGTATTGAATTAATAACAAAAATATAGCGGATGTGCAATTATTTTTGCGCATTTGGGCTCCTTCTATCTATCTCTCTATCTAAAAACACTACTAAAGGAAATGTGTTTGCATTTAATATCACATATTAAATGATTATTATTATATTAAATTGTTCACTTAACAAAAATAAACATGCAGGTTATGTCCAGTGACCTCACATTGCAGCCTGTAATAACACTGTTTTAAAAATCAAACAACAACCACATAAGAACTATCTGAGCTAAATACATAAAGCTAAATATGTTTTTCATTTATAAATAATTATCTTTTAATTCAGCCATGGGAGCAGGGCTGGTTTTTGGCATCGGCGACATAGGCGGTCGTTGGCGCTCATTCCTAAATCTGCCTTGATGTAACACATTTACATTAATAATTAAATAAAGGAAACACCTTTTTCACCCCGGTTAAATTTAGCATTTGCCCTGTACGTTGTAAGTGATGAAAATGGTGGATGGTGGCTTATCCGGCGCCCGAAGCTCACAGCTCAAGCTGAAAGTGTAGATACCAACAAGAGGCAAAACATTTGGATGTTTTGCCTCTTGCTTTTCTCCAAGCAGGTGGGGAGAAAAAACCATCTAAAAGTTTAACTTTTAAAATTGTTTTTACTAATAGTAAATATTGGATAACAACAACATAACTAAGCCTACACCTTGCACACAGCGCTCATACTAACTCCCCTCCCACCCCAGCTTTGTGTGTTTGTGTGGTACGAGTGAGTGGCCCGTTCTCATGTCTTCAAATGTCCCTCCTCGACTCCCCTCCTCGACTCCTATCCTCGAGACTTAGTCCCGCCCACAGGAGATGCGAGCGGAGGAGCCGAGGAGGGGAACCGAGGAGAGAGGAGGGGAAGCAGCAGGCGGTTAGAGAAATGAGAACTCCTCTCCTCTGAGCGGTCATTTTAAAGAGACGTCCATTAATGATGACAGGAGGCACAGCAGCCCTCTGTCTGATGGACAGATGTGTTCATGACGACTTATATATTTACTTTTAATTCATTCACAGTGCGGTATAATGAGACAATAACAGGCTACAGATGCGGACATACACACAGACACACAGACACACACACACACACACACACACACACACACACACACATATATGTATATATTTATATAAATATATACAATTTCAGAATCAAACAGAGCACTCTCATAATAACGTAACACTATCAGAGACTGGATATATCCCCCCCCCCCCCTCTCTGGTCGCTACAATGAGGGAAATAAATGACGGGCCAAAAGTTTTATTTACAAGTATTACAAGTAAGCAGAGGACACCAAACCAACTGAGACCTGTCTGTCCGCTGCATCTACGCACACACTGTACCACACACACCTACACCACACACACGCACCTACAGCTCCTAAAGCATATAATCAGGCTACAGCCGTTGTGTATTTTATTATGTGAAGCACTAAATGGTTTTAGAAAAATATCGACTTTGTTTGTAGATATCTACTAAACTAAAGCAAATAAAGAGAGTAGGCCTGTTATACTGAGTGATATGATATATATTATACACACTGCTCTGCTTTCTGCACGGACCTCACAGCTGTTCTCACTGTAAACATCGCATCACGATGAAAGCAGTTAATAAAATAATATCCAGGGGATGCATGCAGAGCTGTCATTGGCTGAGATAAGTCCGACCGTGCGTCTCGACTCTTTGAAACATCACTGTTGCCGGAAATGCATCCACGAAGGAGCCGTGGAGGACCGTGGAGGACCCATCAGTGTATCCTCGGTTATAGCTCCTCCAGAGAGCCTCCTCGACGCTCGATGCTCGGTCCTCAATGTGCATTTCGAGAAATGAGATGTCCTTCAACATGGCGCGCTAAAATTCATTTCCGGGTCACTACCGGAGGACCGAGGAGTCGAGGAGTCGAGGAGGGACATTTGATGACATGAGAAAGGGCCAGTGAGAGGGCGCAAACCGGTTACGGGGGTTGTTGTTGTTGTTAGCATCTGATGCTAGCTGCGCTAAAGGATATAAGGAGCTGTTTCTAGAACAAGGTGGAGGCTGAGAGGCTCAGATAACCTCAGGTGAGGTGAAGGACTCTCTGAGTGTTTAGATAGTTTAGTTAACTAGAAGTTATCTCAGTGGGTCTGAAACTGTTTGGCGACGATGTATTTTAAAAAAAAATGTAGTTTTAAACGGGAGGGATTAGTAAAATATGCATAACTAAAAACATGTAAACTAGGTAAAATAAGATAAGATCAACTTTAAAACTTGTTTAAAGCTAAAACTTGTCTTTACTGATGCTTCAGTGGGAGAGTGAGAGGATTAGGGGGGCGCAAGCAAAAATGTTGCATATGGCAGCAAATTGGTCAGAGCTGGCGCTGTGTGCGAGACCCAAAGAAACGACTGTTGCTTAGCGTGTTGTGCGACTTACTTACAAGGCTCCAAGAAGTGCTCTGGCCACAAGAAGGCCCCATGGAAGAAAGTCCGCCGTTGAAGCCAATTGTTGTAGCGGCGGAACGATTGTATTGCACTTCCGTTCTACAGATGGAGCCTCTTATTTTGGACCCCAGCATACAGCTTCCTGCCTACTGCCAGCCAGTTACCTGCCTAAGACCTGCCAAAGACCAGTATTCAGGAATGTTAGGCCCTCCCACTATTCTCCAATTTCAGGGTTTAACCAGGAGATGGCGCTATATATTAAATAACTATGGCCAAACTAAGACTTAGTTTTTCACAAGAGACAATGCAGATATTATATAAAAAACTAAAGTTAAAATCTTGTTTTTAATGCCCCAAGAGCAATAACATCTTGTCACAAGCTTTTTGGAAGAAAAAGACTTCAAGAGACCTGTAGTTGACAGGCCTCAATAAAGTTCTGCCATTGGTTGTGAAAAACAATGGTGGACATAGTGGAAAGTGAAATTGAGATTGTCAAATTTAATAAAAATACAAAATAATGTATCTGTGTACGTGTTTTACTATATGTGATCTGCATGCACTTATCAAACATCTAATTAAAGAATGGGGAGGAGCAAAAAACACACACTTCAAGTCAGATCATCACCCTTAGCTATTTCAATTACCTCTCAAACAACCTAAACTAGTTATAAATGTTTATTTTAAATAAAGTCTTTATGACTCGGAATATGAATAAAATGGGTCCGTAACAGTTTGTTTTCATCTGATTTCAAATAAACAAAGTCTTGGCTTTCAGAATATTAAACTTGTTTCGGCAAATTTAGATGATAAATACAAATATGAAGCCGACCCCCCTCTGAGTGAATACCTGTTAACTTAATTGTTAACACAATAAAAATGATAACAAGAAAAGTTCATGTTTTATCAAGATGATGGGTTTCCCTAACGCTCAGAGTCGCAACGACTAATTACAGGCCTCAATAAAGTTCTGCCATTGGTTGTGAAAAACAACGGTGGACATAGAGGAAAGTGAAATTGACATTGTCGAATTTAATAAAAATACAAAATAATGTATCTGTGTACGTGTTTTATGTGATCTGCATGCACTTATCAAACATCTAATTAAAGAATGGTAGCTGTACCTCTCAAACAACCTAAACTAGTTATAAATGTTTATTTTAAATAAAGTCTTTATGACTCGGAATATGAATAATATGGGTCCGTTACAGTTTGTTTTCATCTGATTTCAAATAAACAAAGTCTTGGCTTTCAGAATATTAAACTTGTTTCGTCAAATTTAGATGATAAACTTTAAACTTTCACACACGTTGACCGGCGAAAAACTCTGCCCGGTTCACCGACCCCCCTCTGAGTGAATACCCAAGATATCTTGGTTTGATTTGGAGAAGGCTTTTAAAGTATACTAACTCTAACTCTATTGTATACTAACTCTTCCCGTCAAGAATATGAATAGAACTTAGATAGATCACTTTACATTTCTGCGAATGAATAGCTTAGCTACTTGGCACTAAGAGTACAGATATGTCTACCCTTTCTTTTCAGAGTGTAATATCTGCATTTTCTCTTTTGGTTTGAATAGGAGAAGGGCAATGGTTATCGATGGTGCTTTTAATGACTATTGTATACGAACTGTGTGATTTATATTGCTTTTCAAATGCATATAAGCCCCCCATTTACACTGCACTTCCCCGTCAAGAAAATGAATAGCACTTAGTTAGATCACTTTACAGATCAGGTTGGACCAGCCCTGTCGCTACTCTCTGCATTTCCTACTGCAGATTAAAAAAAAGCTACAAATATGTATTTCTTAATAAACTAAATAGGCCACCATTGGTAGCAGTTCTCATTATATACTTCTCAGTAACTGCTCCCCTTAAATTAAATGTGTTCTGTAGATAAATGTAAACGTTCACCATCCCCCACCCGCCCACTGTTTGTTGCTTTTTGACATGTAAATCGGTAACTACCCCCCTCTGAGTGAATACCTGTTGTACCTGTCCGGGGCTAAACCCATAGGACGATGCTCTGATGTCATCACCCTCGCACATTGGTCATATGTTTATGAGATCACTGTGATTCACTTCTCCGCGGCTCCTCCGTGCAGAGAGGCCCCCCCCCCGTTGACAATTCACGAGCGTCTAACTCTCTCCCCCCTCCCCCGTCGCACCTTCTAACAGAACCCCCCCCCCCCCCCATATCTGGATTTGGCCCACAGACCTAGAGAGTAGCA